ACTGATGATCAAGCTCTATAGTTTCCCTCATTTCCTGTTCTCTCCTCCTCCTTTTATGCTGAGTCAGGCATCATTTAACTGTTCTAGCTTCAGCTTTATTGCATTCTCTATCTCCTGGTGAAGTTCAAGATTTCATATCATCTCTACAAGCTTACTACTTCTGGGTCTCTAAACCCTCTATTAAATCTTTAGAACACTTAGAACAGAACATTTACTGTAATATTGTTCAGTTGCCTCTCTTTCCCACCAGACAACTGGTTTTTAAAACCTTACTGTAAAAACAAATTCTTTCCAAAACTCTGGCAGTGAAAAGAAGCAGTATGGGAAAAAAAGGGTATTAATAAAACAAGGTTCCAGCTAAAATCTACATTACAAGAGTTCTCCTCACCAATCCTGTCAAGGTAAGCTATATGAAATCATGATTTCCCTTTCCTCAGGAAAAATGCAATCAGAGGAACCAGAAGGCTCTTCAGTGGCAAATACAAAAACGAAACATACAGGCATGCTTTCATTTTTTTCTTTAAACTTCCTGGCAGTACAAATGAGGTGACTAGTATATAAATATACTCACTTTATAGATGAGTAAGATGAAAGCTAAAAAGATGAAATCATTTCCTCAAGGTCATTCAAAAGTGGCAGATAAAATAATAACCCTGAGCTTCCAAATTGATAGTCCAGTAATGCCAATTTCCCAGTAACTATATTATTTAATTTTATGAGGTTATCTTGGTATTTCTAAAAGGTCTATTTACTTTGATTTCTAGTACTTACCTTAATGGAAAAGTGTAAAGAACACAAAGTTTCAATTTTCAGTAAGAGGATAAAAAAACCTTTAAAGCTATTCATATTTTTATCTAAAAGAACTGAATAAAGTACTTTATCAATAAGTATTATGTGCACAGTTTCAGCTAGATAATGCAGTTGTTTCGTGTTTAAAATGACAAAAATGAAAGCCTGTAACCCACCAAAAATTACAAAATTTATCTCCTAAGACTTCTCATACCTGGATCTTTACTCTCTACTTCTACTACCACCTTTTTTTTAGTCAGTGTTTCATCATTTCTTGCCTGGGTAACTCCAACAGTTTCCCTAAATGGTTTCCCCACATCTATTTCTTTGTCCCCTACAATGCCTTTTCCACAATGAAACTACCTCTCCCCTTAAATAGGAACCAAAACCTCCATTCTGTGGCACTGTCTCTGTTTTTTGAGGTTAGTAGTCTTGGTACCCTCAAGAAATTATGTTCTGTCTTCCTACTACAAACAAAACCACTGAACAGGTTAATTCCCATTGCTTGAAAAGTGCTCTCCAAATAAATCTTATCCTTCAAAACTCAGTTCCTCATAGAAACTTACCCTGATCCTAATTTTTCACATAATATCTAACTTTTCCCTCACTAGACTCAACATAATCATAATTTTACATGTGTTGTCCAATGTCTTTTCACTCTTGCTTAGTCTGTGAGAGCAGTGAATTGAATTTCCAGCACCAAGCAAAGTGCCTGTAAAGAGTGTTTGTGTTGAATATGCAATTATTAAACCTACAGTAACCAACAAAATCTCTGTAATTCACAATTTTTTGGATTTCTTCAATTCAGCATTTTACTAATCTAAATCAGCATCAACATTCAAATCAGTGTTAGGTCTTTATTTCCCTGCCTTCAAAGCAAAGGCTAAATTGGTATAAATTTAAATAAAAATCTGTTAGTAGTTGCTTCATTGACCTGTTTAAACTCCATTTAGAAGTAGACTGTCCTAAATTATAGCAAGAGATTATTAAATTTAAAAAATATTGGAAAACTCTGCTATATTCTGCTTATGATTTGAAATCTTAACTGAATTTACTATTCTTAGTAAATCAACTGCCAAATGTTCAAGTAAGTATTAACTATAAAGAGTTGCTACTAGTAATCTGCTTCAGTAGCCATCAATTAAATGCACAGGTATTACTTCATGCACAGATATGGGGAAAAAAAATTTCACATAAACAGTATGCCAAGCATTACCTATCAGAATATATTTACACATAAGAATCACAAGAAAGGAAAATGTGACAAAGGAACTACATTTTAAACTGATTAAAGAACTTCCTTCATGTCCAATACTAAAATGCCCAAATAAGCTTCACAAATGCTTTCCCCAAACAGGAAGTGAATGCAATCAAACCTATATAATTTTATTGCTCAAGCAATTGATATAATAGACCTATTATTGGGGTACATAAAGTAATATTGTGCCATTACTTTTAAAGATTTATTTGTGCATACAGAACTGGGGTACAGGGCAGAGGTGCAGGGGCAATGAGAGGGTTTACCAGAGACAGAGCGGGGAGCAGAACAGGCAGATCAAAGAAGTACAGGCTGAGGGGAGCAGCAGGCCGTTCAGGAGAGACCATGTGGATCACCTCTGGGCAGATGGATATCAAACTCTCCTGAGGAAGTGGCTTTAGCTTCTTAGTGCTGTGCTTTAAGCTGAGCCACCAGGGAGGGCCTATTGTGCCATTTTACAGGCTTCAGAAGATGCTATGTTCGCCAAGTTCACTAAACTTGTTAGCACTTGGGACAATGAGGTGCTGAATGAATTAATTACTGAAAAAAAAAATGCATGAAGACTGTTTTAAACTATGCTTAACTGTCCTCCCATAGATCCCATCTGCACTGTTATTATTTGGTTATATAAACAATATGATGGGAGAAAGTACATATAATTCATATAAGGAACAAAAGGAGTTGAAAGGAAGGTAAAGTTAACTCTCTTTAAGTGTCAACTGTGTTAATTTAAGAAAAATTATATTTTATAATAAGATTTCAAATGCAATAAAAGAATTTTCATATATTTATCCTGAACTGTTTATCTTTCTCGCCCCTTCCTAAATTTGCAAAGGAATGGCCAAGAGCTTCTTCTAAAACCAAAATCCAACATTCACTTTCCCTCTAGGAAGTCTCTGAGGGAAAAAAGGAACAAATAATAGACCAAATTTACCAGCATTTAGTAGGGCATAACAATATAGTAGGGCATAACTATGGAAAATATAGTTTTCAATCTGCATATTAATAAAAATAACCGAAGCATTCAGTTTTGTATATAACATGCTATGTGTTAAGGACTGCAAAAGAAAACTTTTACTAGACTTTTGGGGCAGTATGAACAAATTAAAAAAATAAAGACAAAGCTAAGGATCCAAAATGCAACTAAAGTACTTACGACTTTTATTTTATAATTTAACTTTAAGGACTGAAATACCGTTCCCTACAACTGTTTACACACATTGAAATATGCTATGATAATCCTCAGACGAAGATATGCTTGTTAAATTACTGTGGCAAGTTTTCCAATACGCACAGCTGTAAAGAATATTTTGAAAAAAGCGCAAGTGAAACTAAGATACATATATGTAAGTAGGAAACAGAAAAATTACATAACCTGGGAAGCTACCATCTTTTTTATACACTTAGATCCAAAAATATAATCACTACCACTTTCTAATTTAAAAAACGATGGGGTTGGTCGAAGCCGAAATACTACTTGGTAATATGTGGATGATGAATGACAGGGTACACAATACACAGCAGAGAGCTTTCTTTCTTTTTTTTTAATTGGGAAGACATAACAAGGTTTTTAGTTTTCACTTAAAAATAGTCTCATCACCTGACTCTCTTTCAAGAGTAGATAGATTTTTTTTTTTTAAAGATTTATTTGTGCATACAGAACTGGGGTACAGGCCAGAGACTCAGGAGTAGTGAAAGACTTCACCAGAGACAGAGTGGGGAGCAGAACAGGCAGATCGATGAAGTATACTGCTGAGGGGGGCAGCGGGCGGGTCAGGAGAGGTCTGCCGCACCATGTGGTCACCTCCGGGCAGGCGGGAATCGAACTCATGAGGAAGTGGTTTCAGCTTCTTAGTGCAGTGCTTTAACCTGCTGCGCCACCAGGGAGGGCCAGATAGATTTTTTTTAATGTTAAAGATTTTTAGTCTTTAAAGACTAAGCAAAAACTAGTTGGATAAGTAGAACACTAACTTATATAACCCGTGAAATTTGAAAAAGATAATTTTAAATGCACGTGGCCCGCACTAATTTCCAATCAAGACTTAGGAAAAAGTTTCTTTTGCAATACAGGATTCTAATTTCTGCTTAAAATACTGAGTGTTTTTTTTTTTTTAAGCTGATTCTTTCAAACCTTCTCCAACCTTAACCTTATTATTCTTTACTGTTCTGGGTCCAACAGGAAATAAGCAAGAACAAAATCACATACAAAATAAAATCGAAAACTGCGGGGTGTTCCCCCCCCCCCTTCTATTTTTCTGAATGCACAAGAAGAGAATTGAAAGTCTAACGAGATGCCAGGGTATGCTATTCCTGGTAGGCGGGTGCAGAGAGCCTGGGGGATGGGGGGCAGGGGAGCGGTAAGGATGGGTGGGGAGTAATCCAGTTGTCTGGTAGCTAACGGTTGTCAAGCAGAGCAAGACGCCCTAAACTGCGAGTCAAGTCAGCCTCCCCAGCCCTCCGCACGCCCTCCAGCAGTCAGCCCTCCCCTCACGCAACAGTCAACCGCAGTCTCGCGAAAAAGGGCCTGTCACTCGCGGGTCCCCTCCAAGAACGCGCTCATCTTCACCTAGTGGGGCAGCGAGGCCGCCTGGCAGAGGCCGGGGGAGCGGGGGCGCGGGGGCAGAGACCTGGCTGATAAGCGCGGAGCGCGCCAGCCCCGCAGGAGCCGTGGCCATGGCGCGCAGACGCCGGCCGCTCGTCCGCGCTGACAAGTGTCCCCGCATCTTCCCCTTTTGGCGTTTAACCTTCTAGCGCCCTCCTTCCCCATTCCCAGCACTGTACGGCTCGGAAGAGAGGCGGGCGACCTGACGCCCCAGGTAGCGCCCGGAGAAGGCGGGCCGCAGACGCCGTCTTCCGGGCCCGGGGAGGCTCAGGCCACAGAGCCTGGACCTCGCGTAGCAAACGGCGCCGGGCAGAGGTCCTGCGGGCCCGAGAAGCCGGCGCGCACACTCACCAAATCTGGAATTTAAGCAGCGGCCCGGTAGCGTACTGCATCTTTAATCTCTTGCTAGGCACGCCGCCCAGGTTGGCCGAGGCATCCGTTCCGACCACCGCCGACGCCGCCACCAGAAGAAGGAGCAAGAGCCTCATTCTAACCGAGTCAGCTACTTCGGCCGCTCTCAGACCAAGACTGCGGCCGGCGCTGAGCCCACTGCTCCCAGCGCGCAGGCGCCACCAGCCAAGGTCGGCAAGGTAAGCAGGACTACGCCTGCGCAGCCCGGCGCCTGCGCAGCCCGGCGCCTGCGCAGACTGAGACAGAGGCTTGAGCTGTTTCACTGTGCTGACCCACCATCTTGGCTGGGTGCGGAGTCTGGGCCCCAGGGACGGGTTTAGGGAAGAAACCAAGTTATTGGTGGGATGTCAAAGTTTCCTAGTAACTAAAGCACCTGCGCATCTGGCTTCTGCATATAATTTCATTAATTCAAGACATCTTCAGACTTCAGAGACACTGGGGAACACCAGTTTAGCAGTCTTGATTTAGTTGCGGGAGATAAGCCCTGTTCTAACTTACCTTCCGGGGTACGGTGCCGTGACCTTTATTTAATCTTACAGGATCGCTGACAACTAACAATACATATATTTAAGACTACAAATTAAAAATGTATACAGAAATGTATTTACCTTATCACTGAATTTCAACAATTACTGACATTTGACAATTTTGATTGTCTATAACTCTAATTAGTGTTTTTTTGGTTTTGTGGGTTTTTTTTTTCCCCGGAATCAAATGTCATACTGAAACTGAGTAAACCTAGGAAAGCCAGGGTTGACCCAGTTGATGGGGCCTTACAGGATACTTGCAGGATTCAACTCAAAAGTAGGGTCATGGTAAGAAACAACAATAACAGGATTTACTTATTCAAGGAGTGAAAAAAGGGAGATGAGAGAATGAGTGAGAGAGAATGCATGAGTGTATAAGCGGACTTGGCCAGATCCCTCTGTCCTACCACAGTTGGTGTCTGCTGAGCAGAGACCAAGGTCCAAACTGAAGCCATTCATTGCAAGCTGGCAGTTTTTTCATAGCCACCCGTCCTCACCAGTAGTTTAACTGTCAAAGCCCCAGCCGATGATCTGCCAAAACCTCTTTTCCCATGCCCCCTTGCACCCATTCTAAGCCCCCACCACTCCCCCAACCCCCATTAAATAGAGTTTAGAGAGCTCTACCTTCTACTATTGAGTTGAGAATGAGCACTAGCCACTGGCTCAAATTTGCTCCTCACTGTTCCTCTTAAAATTTTCCCACTTTAAAGTTTTGTCGCATTTCTGTGGCAATGAAAGATGCCTGGTGCTAGGGCTTGGCTTCGAAAGATAGTTTCTCTGGCCTTGCTATGTGTTCAAAGGAAACACTAATTACAAGTCATAGCTAATGTGGCAAAGTCTGCCATTTCTAGAAAATAGTCACTCAGTCCAAGCCAAGAGAGAAAAAAAATCCCAAAAATGTGTAAGTAAAGCTACTATTAAAATAAGTTTCTCGGCCCTCCCTGGTGGCGCAGCGGGGTAAAGCACAGCACTAAGAAGCTAAAGCCACTTCAACATGAGTTCG